TAAATCCGAGAGATAGCATTTCGAGCTTAGCTTTTGCGCATCAATTGAGATTCAAATAATCCACCACAGATTATTCCTTTCAAAGATTCTGAGTTTCTGATTAGTTTGTCAATATCTTCGATTGCTGGTTTTACATGAGATGGGTATGAAAGGTTGGCAATCTGTTTTGATAAGATTTGTATAAAAATAAAACCAGTAAAGAGTCAAAGTGAAATAATGTCGAATCTCAATCAAGTCTGCATCAAATGTAAACTTACCCTTAAATTTGAAAACCATTCTACCAAAGATGTTATATCATCTGGCTCATCTGATTGAAGATTCACATTATATTCCACAAATTTGTGAAGCTATTATGATAAAATTTGTATAAAAACAACAGAAAACAATGAAAAGAAATTGAATCAAATAAAAATATAAAAGTTTGTCAACAGACCACAAAATCTGGAAACAATTTGATTATCCATGATTCTGTAAACGGTTCCTCCAAGCCGTCTCTGATTAGTTTAGCGATATCTTCCTTTGGTACGTTTTCAAAAAATGGGTTTGAAAAGTCAAAAATCTGTTATGATAAAATTGTATAAAAAATGAAAAGAATGGCAGCGAAATGTTGTCAAATCTATCAACAAACCCTTAAATTTGGGAACCATTCGCTCAAAAATGCTACATCAATCGGCTCATCTGATTGTTGAAAAACAGAATCAGGCGAATGATTTGGTCGGTCTGAAATTGATAATTGATTTCATTAGGAAAATGGTTAAAAAGGAGCATTAATCAAAATTTATAATTCTTACCAATAAAATATTTAACTTTTTTAGTCCGAGCAACAATCAAATTACTCCATTTTTCGCAAACTGTAATTGAAATTTGTCAAATTACTATTAAATTAGCAAAACATAACTTCAAACAAACTATAATATTAGCATGCAAATAGCGCGCTTTTACAGTCAAACAAACAATATTCATCACAAGATAACAAACGAGGTTTCAATGAAACAGTTTCTTTCACATAAAAGTTTTATATCATTTACAGTATTGTGATTTCCAATGATATCTATAAATTCCAATATAATTATTGTAATATACACAGGAGTGAGCTTTTGAGCCTCGTTAAAAGCAATTTCACCGTCGTATCGATAAGATTAAATTGTTTGCGATCATCTAATTTTTAAGTTTGATAACAAAATACTAGCTGAACACCGAAATCACTAGATGGCGACTGACAAGGATTGCCCTAAACGATTACTCCTGTGAGTGTAGTAATTAGATTTCCACATCTCTCACATTTTACAATTTAAATAAATAGCATGATTTACACTTACCTTTAAAGCAGTTAATTAAATCCTTTAAATCTTGAATGTAATCAAAGATTTCCACAAAACAATCTTCTGGAAGCTCATTTATTAACATTGTTAAATCAATTTTAAAATGGTAACTCTAACAAGTAAGAGTAAACAACTTTAATCTTATCAATCTCTAGTTGCAACTATGATAAGAATTAGAAACCACAGCTGGTCGACTTAGTCGAAAAATCAGTTGAATGCTCAACGGCTTAGCCGTGCAAATGATTTTAAATAAGACCCAATAAAATTTTATATTGGAATTGTAAGATTTAAAGTGCGTTTTTACAATAACACCAAGATTAAAGAACTTTTTTTGGGTGCTCGGAATATCGGGGTGAAAAGTTAGCAAAGATGGTGAATTTTCTGAAGATAGCAACTTTTCTTTCAATATCGTACACCTCGGAGCTAAAACGAAAATTAAGTGCAAAGGATTGACATTTCAAAAGATCATGTTATTGGATTATTTGCATTTTTAATCATCTATCGGGTCCAACAAATGAGGCAAGAAATCAAAATCTCTGAAAAAACAATGTTCCATGAAATCAAATCCACGACAAACTTTATCTAATCGATTCAATATCTGCGGCCAATCAGATTCAATTTGTTTGTCATCTGCTTTGAAATAAAACTTGATTGATCGGCCATTCTGTTTACAATAATCCTGAACATGATCAGCAGCTTCTTGAGTGACTCCGCGAGTTGCACGAACATCGAGTAGTGCTAGTTTTGGCAAAATTAATATTAATTGCTTGATGTCTTCATCCCTTAAATAGGCATTTCGTATTGCCAAATGCTTTAGATTTGGATATTTCGAAATGCATATGGATAGATCCTTCCATTTGTTTGGTACACGCTATTAGAATAGAGAAAATAGTCAATTTGTCAAAACACTGTACAAATAATAAAAATCACAATGAGAAAAAATTGCTACGCGAAGTTCAAGAAAAGTCCTACTCACAAATTCTAAGACCAAATCTTGTAAATTTACATGCTTTTTTGCATAAAAGCAGGTAAAGCGAACGAAATTTACTTCGATATAAGCACTTTGTAATGCTGGGCATGAATCCATGAAGTCAAATGAACAGCTGGTGTCATTGCTATCAGCTAATTCAACTATTTTAAGATTTTCCAATACTTGACCATCAGAGAAATCTGTTGTGTCTAAACATGAAAAGAGTTGGTTAACAAACATTCATTTAAAGTTACTGAAATATTACATGAAATTGTAATATATAAGATTACCTTCTGAACTTTTAATGTTCAGCCTTTCAAGATTTGGAAAACAATGGGCCACTTCTTTGAATTCTCTTAGAGTAAAGTTACAAAGGTTCAATTGTTTCACCGTTTCATAGATTGAATTTATGTTCGGATTAATAAATCCGGTAGATAACATTTCGAGGTTAGAGTTTTGCGGTATTTTGAACTCCAAATTTTTATCCCATATTATTCCTTTCAAAGATTCTGAGTCTCTGATTAGTTTAGTGATATCTTCAATTGGTACTTTACTGAGTAAGTAAAATGAGTTTGTAAAGTCGAAAATCTGTAATGATACAGTTTGAATAAAAACAATGAAAGTAAAATAAAGTGAATTTTCATTGAATTCATAATATTTTAACAAAGAAATCTTTTCTTTAGGAAAGGAAAAGTTAATCTGTTTAGAGATGTGACTATCATAATCTGACTTCAGATTGAAATGAAGAAGCTCAAGTTTGGCAAAGTTATTGGGCATTTTGATTTCATTCTGAAAGTTGCTTACATTGTATGATAATCTCGAGCTTTAAATATTAGATAACTTTTGTTTCCTACAGCAAAGGTTTTCTTTGTTGAAACAATATGAATTCATTGAAAATTCACTGATTAATCAAATGAAAATAATATAAAATCTGTCAACAAACCCTTAAATTTGGAAACAATTTGCTCAAACATGTTACATCAAAAGGTCGATTTACGCGATTGAAAACAGAATCAGATGAACAATGCCATGCGACTGAAATTAATAATGGATTCAGTTAGGAAAATGAGAATAAACATTAGTCAAAATTTAAATCTTACCAGACACGTATTTGACTCTTTTCGTCCGACCAACAATTAAATTACGCCATTTTTCGCAAACTGTAATTAAAATTTGTCATTACTATTAAATTAGCAAAACATAACTTCAAACAAACTATAATATTAGTATCCAAATAGCGCGCTTTTACAGTCAGACGATAAACAGTATTCATCACAAGATGACAAACGAGGTTTCAATAAAACCGTTTCTTTCGCACAAAAGGTGGATATAGCATTTATCTTATTGTTTTTCAATTGATAGATAATATAAATATAAATATAATAATATAATAATTCCAATATAAATTGATTTCCACATTTCTCACATTTTACAATTTAAATAAATAGCATGATTTACACTTACCTTCGAAGCAGTTTATTAAATCTTCTAATATATGTATGTAATCAAAAATAGCCAGCAAACAATCATCAGGAAGTTCATTAATCAACATTGTTAAATCAATTTTAAAATGGTAACTCTAGCAAAGAGTGGACAACTTTAATCTTAAAGCTTTAATCAATCTCTAGTTGCAACTAGTAACTTATTGCGCGGACAGCTTTCCATCCCTGAAGCCAGTAACATGGCTGGATGGCTCAAAATCCACCCCCTAGTAGCCATATTAAGCTTGGCTTCAGCTCTTATACTAAACTACAGATGATGTTGTCGGTATCGCAGGTTGCTCAGAGAGCTGATCCATTTATTAATATATTGTATGAAGGAAGTCAGAGGATACAGACGATATCCTCTTTCAATACAGAATGAACTGGTATACTAGAGGTTGAAAGAATAGATTTTTAGGGCTAAGCCCGCTATATATGAGGGTCTAGCCCTGCAGTTCGTTAGGAGTGGACTCCGCTTATATTTTAGGAATTTACTTCCCGTAATCTTTCAGTGAAAGATATGTTAAGAGGGATAGATCCTGCAATTGATAGTTGTTTGCTCAAAAAACACAGTATTTTGACAGGAGTTTTTTTCCAGGGCATCCGGGTGGCACACCACTTCGTCAGGATGACTTTATAATAAATTAAATGCGCCAAAAAACGCCTAAAAACCAAGAAAAAATCACCTCAAAAAACCATATGAAAAAAAACAACTTAGTGCTGGGCGATTTTAGCGATAAAATCGATGCTTATCGATATTTTCTGGCTTTTCTGGCTATCGATTATCAAGAGATATCGAT